CCTCACCCTCAAGAAAAAGTCAGGATTGACTCATTTCTGTTTTCTTTCATACATATATTTGTGTTTGATACTCTCAGTACAGCATTTGTAAAACTTTTTTTTAATTACCTTGTATGAAAAAATAGTCCTATTTTAATTTGCATATTTTTAATAATAATTATATCCAAACTGAAGAAAGCAGAAAATTTTTTTAAAGTACGGATCTTTCTCCGAACAGTTTGGTTTGTTTTTCTTGTGAAGATTGTATGAATTCTCGAGAGATGAAAAAGATTGTTGAAAAATCAATTTATGTTTTAGATATTGACAGAAATAAATCAATAAACGAAAACAAAACTAAATTTGTGCCGACAGACAGAAGAATTTTTGATCCCAAAGGAGACGCAACCATTTTATAGTTACCATTCCTGACAAGACTTGGTTAAGTGATTAAACAGAAGCCTAATATAAAGGATTCATTTGGAATGTGACGTTGAATATTATCATTAAGTCAAATATTCACTCGAACTGAATTGAATAGTTGAACAGGAGTCTAGTACCAATGATTCTTTTGGCATCTGATGTTGAATGGTCTCATTTAGTCAAATGCTTTCTTTCCGACTCATCTAAGTAGTTGAACAGAAACTTTCTAAGAATGATTCATTTGGCATGTGATGTTGAATAGTATCATTAAGTCAAATACTTACATTCCAGCCTACCTAAGTTGTTGAACTATCTTAGAACAAGCAGCCGTGACCGATTTCGTCCTTGCTTAAGGGACTCATCAATCATGGCTGCTTGTTCTAATATAGTAGCCATACTTAATACTGTATCTCCTCTAGTTGATAGGGGTTGATTGAAGTTTCGTTATTATCTTAGGATAATAATGAATTTGAACATGCCATCTGATGAGTCTCTTAAGCAAGGACGAAACCGGTCATGGCTGCTTGTTCCAATGTGCTATTGAATAGTATCAATAAGCCAAATAGTTTCCTTTCAGCTCATCTGAGTAGTTGAGGGTGTGGGTGAGTGTGAATGATTATTCAGATCATCTTTTCACCCATCCTCACCCATGCACACACCCATACTCCATACCCTTAACCTCACTAATATGAATAAAATAAAATCTTCTGTCATAATGAAAATGAAATTTTGGGCAGTTAAATAAAGTTTTACATCTCATATACATGTAAATTTTCGACCTTTCTTATTTAATTATATGATCTTATAATGATGTGTACGATCATCATCAGCAGATGACATGATCTGTGACCTTCATTTTAATGATAAACTAAATCATGATCAATAACAAGTAATAACATAGTCGAGTACCAGTATCAGGTAAACAAATAATCAATAACCAAGTGAAATAAGTGTCAATATCGAATACTAATATTAAAAAACGCAATAACTTAATAACAAATAAGCAAATATCTTTATGTAAAGCTTCATTTAACTGCCCAAAATTTCATTTGCATTATTACTTATTCTTACTCAAACAAATTTATTTCTATTAAAAATCTTCTGTTGCCATATTATAGAATCGACAAACATGAATGAAAAAAATGATCAAAACCAGAGGAGTTATTAATATTCACAAAATTTGCAACAATTATTAGCTTAACAAGAAAAGCCGTACCGTAGCTATCCTCACAGAAAAATGCCAGATTGAAACTACCTTGCATATTTCGTAGGCTTCGCTGTGTGACACAAAACATTACAACATTTAGTTGATACTTTGTGCTATATAGTCTAAAGATTTTCATTGTCACATTTTTTTTAATCACTATGTGACTCGAAACATTTTAGGTTGACTTTAACACAATCTCGAAGAAGCGAAGGTTTTCATCTTCATCGTCTCTGACATGACGATAGCATTTTTCATATCTATTATCATCAAATACTAATTACCTTATGTTGGCAGTTCAACATTCGTCTCTTGATTAACTAAACATGATGTATTTATATTATTGACAAAAACGAAAACAAACTAGTTACACAATATATAGACATTGCCTATGAATTGAGGTTAATTAAAATTACAAATAAAAGTAAGATGGAAAGGGCAAAGTGAATGAAGGAGACTAATAACTAACAAACATTTATTAAACAATCGTCCAAAAGACAATTCGAACATTGGGATCGATTTAATATAGGTTTAAATCGTGTCTAATGTGTAGATCATATTGGCGCTATGAATGTCTTATTTAATAAGCTTGTTCCTACTTTTGACATCATTCTGATAAGCTACTTACCACAACGATATCAATAAGACTCAATATACCAAGAAAATTTTGTTTCGAGTTACTGTTGATTAGGCTCTGTGATGGGTATGCAACACAGTTTATTTAGTTTTATGAATGATTCATTTTTACCTATGCAACAAGGTAATTTTATACATTTCTTACTCTATCACAAACGTATTTTTACACAATGTACGCACTGCGCACAGTAAATCATGCATACGAAATAACAAGTTATATCTCACAAAATACTGACAAGCAAATATTAGTAGAATAAATCAAATTATTTTTTAACTCATTATTAATCAAACTTAATCTAATAATTTTTTTAATATGAAAGAGACAACCATTAATTTTCTTTTCAGAAAGATAAAGTTCATAATTACTGTTCAAAAGTATTACCTTTGACTTCAATACAAAAATTTAGATATTTCATAATTTTCGAAAAATATATATGCAATATTTCTTGTTATTATATCGATTTCTTTCGTTATTTGAATCTTTAAATTGTAAGGATCTTTTATGACCTTTTGATAGACATTTGTTTTGACGTGGATCCTTCCTTCCCACCACCAACACTTTTTCAGACGCTGTTTGTTTGTTTTTTTTTTTACGAGTGACTTCATGATGTACTCTAATGCTTATATAATGGTTAAAACCGCTGCTTTCTAGCATTTTCCGTTTTTGAGTTATTGTAAAAATATTCGCGATAATTTTGTTTTCGGGTAAGCATTGTTATCGTTTTTTCTATCTATTCACTCATCTTATTCAAGCTTTTCTTCTCTTATAATGTGCAATCTTATTTTCCATGATCATCCTGTAGTAAAGTTATTCTTTTTCTTAGGTATTTATACTTCATCTTTTTTTTTCATGACTTCTTCTTTTTTTCTGATTTTCTTTTCATTATTAATCAATTCATCTTCTTATAATACGAAAAAATTCTTTCGAATCTTTCTTTTTTTGTTAATGAATGTTGCATATAGATTGGTACAAGGTATCGAAACCGAGCACCTATCATGCGACCAACAACAAATGATTATTCACCTCAATCACTGAGAATTATGCCTTTATCGGTACGGTGAGTCCGTCTAGTCTTATTGCAATCTTCACAACAACAACAACATTACAACAGCAATAGTCAAAGTGAAGTTCAATTTTTCCGTTTTTCCTAAAGAATAAGTCGATCATTAATATCAATAGGTTCTTTTTTTTTATTCATATTTATTCTTCTTCTTCCACAACGATCATTCTTCAATATATACTTATTATTTCACAACGTATTAGTAGAACAAATTATAAACTTTGTTTTTTTTCATATGGAAATAAGCATTACGATGTGAAGGGCTCATACATAAGCTGACCAGTAAATTTAAAAAGTTTCGACATAACAGAAACAATCTTATAAAATTATTAAATTGATTTGTCAGTTTATTTGTGATATAATCACAATTCCATGAACAAGATACAAAAAAAAAGCAATGAAGGTTGAATAGTTTTCTCACCGTTTACTCTCAACATAGATTATATTCAAACGACGATAAAATTATTCAACTTTGATTTGTGAAGTTTGTTGAACAGATTATTTATGTTTTTATTTCACAACTACTGAATTACGAAGACTAGTAAAAGACACAATTTTTTTATCTTGTTCATGTTGTTTACTATTCTCTAAAGATAAGAAAAAATTAAGTTTTTTCTGCTTGCAAATCAATCATGCACATTCTCTCGAAAAATTCCTTTATTCATTGACACAATTATTTTTTTGTCTTAAAAAGTTCAGGTTGACTTGTACAAGGATGTTGACATATTTTTCTCTATGGTTTTCTTATGAAGACCCTGATTTTTTTTGTGAAATAATTACGCTAATGTGCCTTTATACTCATTACATTTTTTCTATGTAAATCGTACTGTTTTGTTGTTTTTTTTTCTTGATAGTTGCTTATTTGACTTAATGAGGTTTATGTTAAGAATTAATAATTGTAACAAAAGAAAATTGAAAATAAAAGAATATAGAAATTGTTTCAATACAAAGGCATCTATAGAACCATAAATGAACCAATAGAGAGGCAAATAGAGGACGCACGTCACTATTAGTGCATGCACATTATGCCGCTTGTGTCATGCTTCGTTCGTATGATATCGCACTGAGTATGCGTGACCAAGCGTTTCGTACGTCATGCGTACGGTTATTATGCATACCAGTGGTATACGCACACGCACGAATAGCGCACTATCTGCTTTGGATATATATTTTCTCAGAATATAGATATATTATAGAAAATTCTTTTTTTCTGACAACTTTTTCCCAAATTTATTTTCTTCGATTATAAATAGCACTGTTCTGTTGTTTCTTATCATAGACATCGATATAGAAAAGAAAGTATAATGACGTAATTCATGATGCTGGTAACTTATGACATCAATTGCGAATAAAAGATGGAACTATTTTTTTGGTATATAGTCGTTTCTTCAATAATTTTCTATTTGAATTAATTTTTCCTTGTGAAAGAAATTCAAACTCTATGTTTTATCGTTGCTCAGTGAATGTTGATCAAGGTTTATATTCGAGATCAAATGAATTGCAATAGAGTGTCCAATCATCTCGAATTAGAACTTCGATCAGTGAGAAGATGGATGCCACTCCTGTCCCCGTCCTTGATTATGCTACTATGACATACACGTAGGAAGTTGCAGATAATAATCTTATCTGTTTTAAAACGGATGTTATTTCTATCCCAAATTTTATATTGCTTTTGTTGTTATAGATATATTTAAAACAAAATGCATAATAGTAAACAAATTGATCACGAAGTTTCTGATAATGATTTACAAAAACCAAATATTTATAATCCATATTTGCCATATTATGAATCAATTAAACGGCAAAGTTTAGAATCATTTGAAGAAATTTGTGAAAATCTTTCATGTCTTATTCAATTAGAAGAATTACAACCTGGTTTTCCACTTTGGTCATCTAAACTACAAAATTTTATTTTACTTTATGGTTTTTCTTTTACTAAAACTAATCATATAAAATTAATCAATTTCTATTTATCAATTCTTTCAATTGAAAATTTAAATTATGTCAATGCAAAAATATGTTTTGATATGTTGACTGAACTTACACGGTCCGTATTAATGTCTTTTTACAGATGATTAATAAAACTAAAATGTAATTCGTGTGATTTTTTCTTTTTAGGAAAACACGTTTGATTACAAGAAATGATCTTATTATCGATTGGAGAATACTTTATGTATGGGCAAAACTTGTTCTTTTCAATCATGATGAATCTTATTCACTTATTTCTATTTCCAAGTTTATATTTGAATTAATTTGATAATAAAAGAATGTTCGTTTTTTTTTTTTCGTATTTAGACATATTATAAATTCATTCTTAGTGTGTGTACGTAATTGTCGTCCTTATTTTTCAATAACAGCTACTCAAGAAATTCTTGATGAATTTCAACCATGTTTATGTCCATTTGATACAATCTGTAGAGATGTTATGAGTTATTTGGATATGTTTTTACCTGTTCATTTACCACCTGAATTACATCATCAAGGATTTAAGTAAGATAATTATGAAGATTTTTTTTTTGTTCTTGTCTATTTGTTTTTATTTTAGATTATGGTTATCAGAATTGTTAGATATTTGGGAAACCTTTTGTAATAATCCAGTATGGGAACAAGTAAATTGAATTTTTATACTAAAATATTTATAATATTAACAAATATGTTTATATTTAGAGTTTAATTAGTTTATTTTCTTTTGTTGCTTGGTGTAATATTGGATATATTGATTGGGAACCATGGCTTCCACGTGTAAGATTTATTTTATTTAATTGTTATTTTGTTGATTATTTTTTTTTTTTTTTTGTCAATTAGATTTTTACAAGAATATTAAAAAATCTTTCACTTCCAATTGGTAATGTTGAATTAGAAAAATCAACAGAAAATTATTCTATACCAATTGTTGCTACATGGATTGTTGCTATGATGGGAAATCATAGTTCATGTATTCAATATTTACAAGATTTATTAATTGCAATAAAAAATTTTTATCATCCTTCAAATACAGGAGACTTTCAGAGAGAACTTATTAGTTTTCTTTCAATGCTTGCACAAGCATTTGTTGATCGAGTTTATTTGTAAGTAAATTACATTTATAAATATCAATCATTACATATACTTTAGTACTACACATACAAAAATGTCTCGAAGTCGTCAGAATTGCGAAGAAGAAAGATTCTACAACTAGAGACATTCCTATGAATATAGAAGAACATGTTCTCCTATTCAAAAAAAAAACAAACTGAGTCAACTATGCTCAATTTCACTCTGATTATTTAAATATGAAAGATAAACTTGAGTAATGAGGTCTATTAGTTTATCAACTCATTATTATGAAGTGAATAACTCTGATATATTATCTTTCAGAATTATAGTATTTAAATTCCATGAAGTCATATCTTTAGTGAAACTGAGACGATTTTCATATAATTTACTAGAGTATAAAACCTTTAGATTTGTATTCTCTCAGATTATCGGATAAAAAAATGACTAAATGTATTACTTATGAATACATTTCAAATTCTATCTCTATATTTTCATATTGTTCTCTGCAAATCTTATACTAAAGTAAATAGATTTATCTTCTAGTGTACAATGTTAGTAGGTAGTTCGTTTTTTTTTCAAAATTATGACTGTCAAAGCAAAATCGGTACCATTCATTAGATATCGTTCTATAAAGTTAAGTCATAGGTATGGAATCATTTCACTGATTTACATTTTTTTATGAAAGTAGTTATCCTCAAACTTTTGAAAATCTAACGGCTTTCGAAAAGTGAAAGCTTTTATATTATTGCTGTTTGTATATCGTGTTTTTTGTTTATAAATCTATTGTAGTGAACGTACAACTGATCCAGTTTGGTATTTTAATCCACCAGAATCTCATCGACTTCATGATGAAGATATTAATAATTTTGTTAATTGTCTGAAAGAATATGCATTTATATCTATATTCAATAAATATTATCTTGACATAGCAGCTGAAACATGTCATTATCTTTCTCAACTTCGACCAGAACTCATTGTTCCATCATTAGTTGAATTGTTTGTAGTGTTGTTTTTTTTTTGTTTTTACTATTATTTTTCATTATTTATTAGACTTTTCTCTTCGATCGATAATATGACTGAACCATATCGTTTTACATCAATAATTACTTGTCTAGCTAGTATGACTGGTCAAATTGTTCGTCAAACATTAAATTTTTCTCAAGGTCAAACATTTGTTTTACCATTATTAATATCGATTTTACCTGGTATTGATGCAAATGATTTTAAAAAGACTTCAGTTACATTTCAATTTCTTAATGCTATTTTAATGCTTATCACATGTGTTGATTGTTCATCTGCAGTTAATACAAGAAATGATCTTACCGAAGTTAGAATAATTGTAATATAAATATAAAATATATATATGATTCGTTTTTTTTTGTTTTCTCTTTTGATCATAGATTGAAAAAGAAGTTTGTTTATCAACAGCAAAATTTGAAGATTTTATTAGTGAACTTCTTAATCGAATATTTCAAATGATTGATACATTATCAACAGAAATATCTGATGCTTTAATAATAACAATTGATTCAAAAATAGAAGATAATCAAATTGGTTTAGAATTAACATCTGTCATTTCATGTATTGTTCAACAATGTAGTAAAAAAATTTTTCATGTATATTTTATAATTAAATATTTTACATTTTTTTTCTTTTTTTGAATAGAATAAAATTTATTTTTAGATTGTTAGTGGAAAGATAACAAATTTTCTTGCAACATATTGTTATTCTCCTAAAACAAATAAACTTCTTACGGGTCTGATTCAAGCTATGTTAAAAAATCATCCAATTGAAACATTAAATTATCTTTTACCACAAACATATGAACGTATTGAAAAAATTCTTAATCAATCCGATATGATTATTTTAAATGATCATAAAGGTGATTCTGAATTAACATGGCGTTTAATACTTTTCTCTGAACTTACTTGTGCACGTGGTGATACTTTAATTATTTATAAATCAATGATTTTAACAATTTTTCATCGATGTATTCATATTATTCATAAAGATTCATATGAATCTATAGCAAAAGCTGCTCAAAATTTACTTAAATCATTAACATATGTTTATCCAATTGATTATCGATTGACAGTTGAAAATATTGAAGAACCATTCATTGATTTTTTACCTATTCGAGTATGAATAATTTGATTTGTTAAGTATAAATCGATCTTTTTTTATATTTTCTAGACATGGGGTCAATATGTTGAATATGATAAAATTAATGTTCAATTTCATATTCCAAATGAAGAAGAAGTCGATTTTGCTTGTGAATTTGTTGAAACATTTATGTATCTTGAATTACAAATGTTAAATGAAAAATGTACAAACATGTCTAATGATGAACGATTACGAACACTTACTCTTATTCATCATATAGCTATTGGTTGTTTACGTATGGTTCCTCGTATTGAAAGTAAAAAAGTAAAAAATCTGTAAGTAACAATATATATAGATTTATATCTAAAAAACAAAAAAACATAAATGTATTTTATTTATTTCTCAGTGTATCATCGGTTTCTTCGTGTGATTCAAAAGTTCAAGCTCAATATTTTCTTTATGCTAAACAGCCAAGTAAGTAAATTAGGATTTAATAGAAAAACTTCAACGATGAAGTTTTCCGAAATTAATGGAATATGTTTAATTTGTGAGAAAAGAAGTGAGACCTATAATTATTTTGTTGTAAGTATCATAAGAATATGAGAACATTACATCAGAACTTGAATCTTGTTAATTTTAGTAAAGAAAAAATAAATCAAGCGTTGATCATTGCACTTTTTCAACAGACATAGTCTCAGACGAATATAGAAAATAGGTTTCATTCGAACATATTCTATTTGAAGAATATAATTGTTAACAATGATATTACTTTCTATTTTTGAAGTCATCATCGAAATTATTGCGTATTAGTGGTAGATAATTTTCAGAAATTTTATTAAAGTTCATCTACAATAAATCCAAAGACGTTTTGAAGAATTTATTGATACTGTATACAAAGAATAATCAGTTGTAATATTGTTTTAAAACAAATGAGATCTATTGAATGTTATTTCTATAATCAAATAATATTTTTCGGTTGGACTGGATACAGATTTCAAAAGTTGAACGTGTGTACGACTCTGGTGTTAATTTCTAGAGATGTTCAAAGAATTCCTTCCAATTCTAGGCTTACTTTCAAGAAAACTTAAGAATATATGTACGTTTTCTTTTGTTTAGAATTTAAAGAGAATCTTCGAATGCGTCTTCTTATCGATATTGGAAATTTTATTGGTAAGATTTTTATTAGTCTAAAATAAATTAGTCATAAAAAATTCACTTCGAGGAATTTTTTTTTAATATTACTAGATCATCTTATTGCATATCATTCAGACGATGCTTCATCGATTAACATAGCTCTTAAAGTAATTAAAGAGTTTTTTTTAATAAATTTTTTCTTTTTTTGATTATTTTAATTTAAAGATTTATTCTCTTTCGTCAATGTACTATGGTATATTCGAACAAAACATAAACAAATTATACTGTGATTTAAATACTAATAAATATTTATATAAAAATAAATTATACGATACACAACAATATCCTCGATTTGTCATAATACAACGTATAGCAATACAAATTGAAGTAATCGATTTTTGTTAGAACAAAAAAAAATAACGAGAAAATAATTTTTGTCCATTGTTGATAGTTATTCTCATTGAGTAATTTTCGAACATTGACTGAAATCGATCAACAAGTTATATATAAACTATTTGAATTATCTATTCATCGATACAGTGAAGTAAGTTGAACATTTATCGACTTATTCTTTTATAAAACACGATCAAGAAGGAGTGTTGAAGTTAGAGAGCTGCGAGTCCTTCCAGACCCGGGCCCGACCGGGTCTAAACCTAAGAGAAAAGTCAGACCCGGTCGGCATTAAGTTATGAATGGAAATATATAACAATAACAATTGAAGTCAACAAAATTGAAAAAGAAACAGTCAGAAATGCTTTTACACTCATTTTTCCTTTAAAGTCGCCAATAAAGAGCTAAAATTGTGCTCCCTTTTCTGTTCATGTACACATAGGGTGCCAAATATTGGTGAAAAAAGGATCGGATCTAGACCCGGCCGGGTCCGGGTCCGAAAATTTAGTTTTTCTGGGGCCCGGGTCCAAAAAAACATGGGCCCGCAGCTCTCTAGTTGAAGTATAATAGTACTTCCACCCACAGATATAACCATGGAAATATCTCAGTACAGCCTATCAGGTTGGTCTCGGACTCTATATATGAATTATTTCCTTATTGCATTGTTGAAAAATTAAGTAAACCATAGGAATTGCACTAACATCTATTTCTTTTTTTAATATTAAAGGTCCGTCGTCAAGCACAAAATTATTTATTTACAATGCTTTCACGTTTTTTCTTATCATATCAAATAATTCTTGATCGTATTATTGAATTACTGACAAAATCTGATGAAGTTGATCATGATGAAATTAAAGGTTGTTTATATATACTTCTTGGAAATGAAACAATTTTTCTACCAACAAAACATTCATGGAGAGTACTCGAAAAATTATGGCCACCAATTGCATCTACAAAACATGCAATAAAACTTAGTACACAAAATTTAATCAATTGTATTATGGAAAAAATTTATAAACGTTTTAATACTGTTGCAATTATTGAAAATACAAACGAAATTTCAAAACAAGTCGCTATTAATTTATGGCGTTCATTAGAAAAACATGAATTTGAATTATATAATCCAATACATGAAGAAAGAATTGAAGGAAATATTCGTTCATATAATAATCTAATGGAAAAATTAACTTCATTATTTTATAATAATGTATTGTAAGTTTGTTTTTTTATTTTGAATAATTTCTTGTTTATTATTGTGATATTTAGAACTTGTCGACAACAAATCATAATAATGACATTTATTTTATTTCTTTTTCAAAGACAAGTTCAAATTCCATTATCATGTATTCGAATTCTTGTAGATTCTCTTGTTCATGAAAATGTTGATATACGAAAGGTTTGTTTAGTATATTTAATAAACAATTTACTTTCATTTTACGAGAGAGAATTAAAATACAATAGATACTCTTTTTCTAGAATAGAATTAAATATACATATGATTTATTAGAAAAAGAAAACAAAAAGAAAATCATATTTTGGAATAGGAAAGAGTGAAAACCCTCTAGTAATGCTTCTATAGAGGAAGTTCTAGTTTCCTATTCGATAGGAATTTTTTCGTTTAAAAATTTTGTTTTATTTAGATAGCCGAACAATGTGTATCGACATTATGTCGTATACAAAAACCACCGAGAATTTATCTTGAAAAAACACTTCATGATATATTCTATCATATGAAGAAACCATGTCCTGATGAAGTATTGTCTTGTCTAGGTGATCGTGATGATAATTTATGGATTACATTGAATGATTATCAACCACCTAACACTCAAATTGAATGGGAACAAACATGTTTTTTAGATAAATGTTTTCATGGATATTATAAATGGCCAAAAGTAATTAAATATTCAATGAATAAACGTGAACGTTATACAAAAGAAACAATGTCTGAATATGTTGCAATTCTATATAATCGATTTATGGATAAAAATTTTGTTACGCAACTTATACAATATATGATACTTGCTGATGAAAAAAATGAATTGAATTTTAATATACATCGATTTCGAATGTTTAAAGTACAGAATAATTTTCAAAGAAACAAAAAACAAAAAAATCTTAACATTCTATATTGAATATATTTCTATTTTTCTAGGGTCTTTTTCGAAATTTTGGTATCGATTTAATGGATCATTTTATGGAACAATTAGATATTTTGATTCATGAAAAAATGATAGAAAAACAAGAAGGTTGTCATCGAGTAGCAGCTGAAATTGTTGCTGGAATGATTCGAGGCTCAAAATATTGGACATTGGAAATGGTTTGTATTTAAAAAAAAACAAAGAATTTATTTATAAAAAAAAACTTAATTCGATTTATTATAGCTTAAGAAATTATGGCAAAAATTAATACCATTTCTTAATGAAGTCTGTACAAATCTTAGTCCTGAAACTTTATCATGTTGGGATTCATGTTTTAAATTTGGCATGGTGTGTTTAAATAATAGTTTCTTTTTCTTTTCTTTTTTATAAGTCAATCATTTTTTCTATCTTATAGGAAGATTTAGATCCTCGTCGAATGTATCGTCTTATTGAATTTATTTGTACTTTAATAAATAATCAAACAATAGTAAATACATTTCTTGAAACATCACGTTGGTTTTTAGTTTTAAAATTAACTAATTTTGAATGGCGTATACCAGCTATATGGTGTGCAATTAATGAACATGCAAAAGAAATGCTTGATCATCCATATAAAGCTGTTCGAGAACATATTGCTAAGTAAAAGAAAATAAATCTTATTTTATAATAAATGAAAATCAATTTTCTTTTTTGAATAGTGTTTTATCAGTATCACTAAGTTTCGATGTTAAATTACTCAATGGTCAATCAACACGTAACCCCGATGCAAATCGTTTTATTGATACTATTCGTGAACGATTACATCAAGCGATAGAAACTTATCAAAAGGAGCCACTAGGTAAAATTCTACTAAAAATTAATGTCAATTTTTTTGTCAAATAATCCATTTATTAATTTGAACTTGAAATGGAGATAAATAGTTTTTATAATTTTTCTTTATTTCTGTATGATAATCTAGTTTTCTTCTCAAATTAAAAGAGGCCAACATCAACTTTCTGACATGAAATTTCTTATTCATTTTCAAATTGAATGATATCTAACGAGGAAACATATATAAGTGTCGGACGCTGTTCGAGATCCCATATTTGGGCTATGAGTAGGACATAGTGAAACTAAGAAAGTCCTAAATGAATTTGGGCTCATATATTATCCAGCTACAGTCATGATCCTTTTCTTTTGAGTTTCTGATCAGCTATTCATGGAAAACTCAATGATGAGATTTTCATCCGTAGATGAGTCGTACGGCTACTCGAATATCATAAAAATTTCATCTCTCACGAATGCATTCTTCTCACGATACTGAGTATCTAAGACAGGTCGAATCCAGAGCTTACTGCTTTATGATGTACAAGCATTCATTGGATGATTTTAAAGATCAGCTATTAATTTTTTGGTTGCCACCGACGCACATATGCGTCAAGAGCCGTATCTTTGCATGAACTGAAGTAATCATTCATAATGTATGTTTTTTTAGAAGCGTTTGCCTACAAAACAAATGTTAGGCATCATGCAATTTCCAAATCATCATTTTGTTAAGGCACATTATACAATCGTTTCATAGACAAATTAGTAAATTTTCTGAAAAATCGTTTTTTCGTTCTCTTACGCCGGTGGCCAAAGGGTTTAAGATATATATATGTAAATTCTTTTTGGAATATTATCGATATGAAACATTATCTAATAATCATTTGAAAACTGTTTGTCTTTTATAGCGAACATTTCTGGAGAAAAGATCGAAATCAATCAAGAAGCTCGTAAAGCTCTAAATTTTATTGAAACAGGTAATACTCAAACAAAACCAAATTTAAAAATTACATTATTTCATTCAGTGATTCAATTTCATACACGTATATTTATGTGCTGTTTACAACCAATGAAAAGTGCAATTGTTCGAATATTTCCATATGTATGTTCTACTTAAATATAAAAATATCCATTTTAGAAGTGCATATCTTTTTTTCTTGCTAGCTTTGCGAATTAGAAAGTATTGTTTCAAATGAAAATTTAACAATCAGTCGAACGCTTGTGGCTATGACTTATTTACATACACATTTTCTTGAATCATTGATTGAACAATTAGAACAAGTAAATGAATATTAATCCACAAAAAAAAACCAATAATTGTTTTATTTATTTCGAAAAAATTAAAGATTTGTACAAGTTCCAAATGGCATGCACGTCGAGCAGCTATGGAATTTGTACAATATATGATTTTTTGTAATCTATTTAATGCTCGACCATATAAAAAACAAATACGTGAACTTGTTTTTAAATGTTTATTTGATAAACAATTTGAAGTTCGTACAGTTACATCAGTTACATTATCAGGCTTATATCGATGTGGATATATTCAAATTAACGAAGAAGATTTTGTGAATACTTATGATTCTATATAAAAAAATAATTCTTCACGAATTTGTTTGTTTCTTTTTAGACATACTTTAGTCAAATGAGTAAAATAAATTATTTTATAAAAAAAAAGGGAAAAAAAATCGTATTAACTGAAAAGATTATTAAACGACATGGAGGTTAGTTAAAATAATTGAATTGAAATTAATCATAGAATTTATATTACTAGGTGTTCTTGGTCTTTGTGCAATTGTTCTTGCAAGTCCATATGATATTTCAAACTATGTACCTGATGCATTGATGCTTCTATGTGAACATTCACATGATCCCGATCTTATTCAAGTTAGTTAATTTCTTATTTCAAGATGTTTATTATGTTTTTTTTTAAATTAGGAATCAGTTAAAAAAGGATTACTAGAATTTCATCGTACTCATTATGATTCATGGCATGAACATCGAGAAAAATTTACGGACGATCAACTTGTCATCTTGACTGATGTGTTGATATCACCTAATTACTATGCATAAATGTCAATAAGATTTCTGAAATATAATGTGTGAACCTTAGTGAAATTTTCCTTGGTCATATGTATATATTCTTTGATAACCGTGTCATTATTTTTACATATTCACTTCTATGTTGTTATTTTATATTAATACAAGTATATATAAATCAAGATGCACATTCATTTGAACAAAAAGAATTACTCAGATTCACTGACAAATGATTCTGTTCATCGTGATCTGTTATAAAATACATTTCGATAAGAAATGTTTATTATGATATGTGACGGTAATATTAGATCACATATTGTCTTCAATATGTATTCTTTTTTCGATGTTCTCTTTGTTATAATGCTAAACCTTCTATACATATTAGGATATAAAAAAAAAGTGATGGCGGTAGAACAACAAAAGAAATACAGAAACAAGTGCATCAAAGTTTTACGTATAAGTAATTCTCTGAATTTGGTACAGTATGATTTTTTGATTATTCATCTTAATCAGACAAAATCTAAGAGACCAAAACGTAGTAGTTTATAAAATCTATGAATAAACAAAAGTATAAATAAACGTTTGATAAATGGATTCAACGAAATGCAATTAAGTGTAAATAATTAGGACGATTATTTCGAACATTTAATGGAATAAAGACTTGAGATAAACTTGTTTCTGTAGGGGTGTGGGTGCGAATGAAGAGAAAAATGAGATTCAAATTTACACCCTAGTGAGGAGGCTATGGTAAAATGTTTAGCTCTATATCATGATGTTTGAAAGAGATATTGACCAAAAAACTGTCAAAAATAGCTCACTTGGCAAACCAAATTTCCCTATCCAGGATCATTCTATATGTTTAAATTTTTATTTTGTTTGAAAGAACACGTCAGGATGCAATGCATTACAGAGCCTGTTTTTTCTAAAGATATCCTTACTTTTTAAGCGGCGATAAGAAATTACAAGTTGAATAACTCAAAAACACTTTCAAAAAATGTATATTTGTTTATATTATTGTTCATATATACAATAAAAACACAGCTTAATTATAAAAAAGGGCTCTGTTAGGTACTTTAACTTGACATATTCTTTCAAACAAACATAAATTAAATGTATAGAATGAGGATTCACCGAGAATTCTGAATTGCACGATCAAAAAAAGTATAAACTGAAAAAACTAAAAATATGTTCCGTTTTTTACCGAAAAAATCTGCTTTTAAGAAGTAAATAGTAGAATTCATCAAAAATTTTAGCTCAAAACTAGGTGCCAAATAGAAAATCATTTCGTTTGTGAAAGATCAGACCTCACGCTGTGTTCCCAGACATTTAACTCAATTTCGATGTTTCTGACGAAAATGTACGTTTTTGAAGGGAAGCGGAAGGTTTTAAACAAGATAATGAAGTATCACTTTAGCTTTTTGGCTCCCGAGGACATTTATATACGTTCTGGCTTTTTAGGGCAAAATACTTACGAGATGTAAATAATTTTCATAATTGTTGCACAAGGGTCTCATCGATAGTGAGATTTTATTTATTTCAACATTTTTTTCAATTTGATAACGCTTTTTATATAGTCATTGGTAGTCTCTTTCAACATTACTTTATAAAGAAAAAATACATATATTTGTTTTCTAAGATTGGTGACCAAAGGGTTAAATTATGAAGGTATAAGTAAAATTGAGCAATTAGGAATGGCTGGTCGTAGGGATGCCGACGCTTCACTTTAGAAAATCTCAATAGAAAATTGAAAGGATCAGTTAGGTGGGTGTGTATATGCTTTCTAGTAATACCAACACCCACACCCACACCCAATTCAATGAAATTTAGTAACTAGCTACACTACTAATGAGTTATTAAGAACGAATAGTTAATTTTCACCGAAGATGGCAAAGTTATACGACGGTCAGAAAAGTAACACACACAAATGTCTTCTTTTTCAAGATGGGTCAGTCACAGAAACAATGCCTCAGCAAGTTAATGTTAAAAATTCTTCAACCTGTTGAATATTTATTTAAACATAATAACTTTCTGATTTAAATAACAAAAAAAAATAGAAATATTAAAAAGATTTAAAACATATTTGGTATATCTTGCATATCTTTATGAACTCTCCATATCTCTGCTTGTATTGCCTTTGATGGTCTGAAAAGAGAAGCGTTCTTATCAACTGCAGTTCAAAAAGACAGAGGACTTCAATTCCTTACCGTGTACTACTGCCAAACAGCTGTCTCGCATTGCTTGCTGCAGCATCTGCCAAATGTAAAACACTCGGAATTGATTCACTCAATCGACTATCAATACGCTGATCAGTATGACAAAGAGAATAAGTGAGTTCCTCCAATTCACTCAATGAATATTTATTATCATTGACCAGTACAACATAATTTCCAATTTTGTTCGTTCCTAAACCTGGTTCGTGTGAATTTAGGAAGAAATTCAGATAATTTGGATTTGAATTAACGATGGAACTATCAATAACAACGCCAGATTCAACGTTGGCTATATTCGTAGGCGTCAACAGTCGAAAGAGGCGGGTATGGTGACGTTTTTTGACTACGATGAATGTTAGAATAGGAGAGGACGAATTTGTGGGATAGATAGCTAAAAAAAAGAACGATTGATAGAGTGTACATAAAGGTCAAAAAGTTAACTACGAATACTATACAAGAGAAACTAAAGTTTGACTGAGCTATAGGATTCCTCAAACTTGGAAAAGACCTTACCATTGAATCTCATCTATTTAGCTAGAAAAAAAGAATTGCTTCTTACCTTGAAAGGCTTTCCTCAAAGCGGCCACCTCGTCATCTTGTACACGTTCAAATTGTCCATCATCAACACCGTCGCGATAGAAAACGATATGTTCGGGCAATGAACCTTCGTTACTATTTTTGAATGCGATTAACAGTTCTTCGACCATTTCTTTCAATAACAAAATTGCTTCTTCTGATTGTTTTCCTTTACTTGGCCATTGACGAGAGACACGTTGATTTGTTAATGTACACTCAGAATTCATACTTGCAACAACAGCTGCAATCGATGGTAGTTCGCCAGAATAATTATTCTTCGTGTGTTGGACGTCAGCACCGATAAACATTGTTTTGATAGACGTTTGTAACTGAGCTACTTGTTTATTTTCTCCGCTTAGTTTAGTATTCACTGATTTTAAAAGGTTACTACAATAAGTTTTTAAATTTGATATTCGGTGAACTTTTGTAAAGTTAGCACATTGAGTAACAAGACCTGAACAGAGAGCGAATCTATCATAATTTCATAGCTAATGATTAAAAACTGACTAACCAAATTCGTTGCATGCAATTTGTTTGAAGAGTTCATGTATTTTTGAATTTCGACAATTTTCAAGACATAGAATGAATTGACACTGCTTGTGTTTTAGCTTAGATAAAACACTTCGAACTTCGTCTTCTAGATTTCTGTCAGCAATAATTTCATATTCGTTAGGATACTCAGGTAATGTCATTCTTTGTCGCTTTGCAGCCTGTTAAACACAGTATGAAAAAGGGATCTGTGGAAGTAGGAATTGGAAACATGTAAGACTTACATCATAGAAGTTGTTCAATAGCTTTTCCTGTATTTGTCTCGCATTTGGTTCTTGACATTCTGCCAGATATATAAATGCCATGTTATCAATCGAGACTGGATTAGTAAAAGCACCTTGTCGACCGAGAATAATTTGACGTTTGCTTAGAGTTTCATAAGGAATTCCCATCATCGTCTGACAATTAACTTCAAGTTGAATTTCTTTACATAATTCATCATCATGGAAATTGCAATATCTAATAGCTGTCAAAATTGAATGATATCGTTTATCGACTGTTGGTGCTGGAACAGGTTTTGTATTTTCATCTTCCTTCACCTGTTGCCACTCTCGAAGACAGCAAAATTCAATCGGCAAATCAACTAAATTTTGTGGATTGCCCAATGGATAGGCTTTCACGCAGTATAACTGTGGATAACGAAGCTCGAATCCGAGATGCTTGTAGTAATTTAAGAGATTGCCTTGTTCTTTAATTGGAGTTTTTTCAGGAAGCTGATCCGAAAAATATCCTGTGAGAATATATATTTTTTCATAATTTGATTGAGCTGTTGTGACTTCAACATCTTTCAAGCGATTACCAATTTGATCATAATGTCGATCTAAGAGTGATCCACGAAAAGAAGATTCGTTTTTCAACAATCTTTCCAAAATAAATGCTAGAAGATCTAAGTGGGGATAGAATCGTGTAATCGTGGTATCCACATTCAAGGTCGGACCTGATTCTGTGAGACACATAGCCAGTTTGAATCCTGTAAGAAGATTATAGGGACCGTCTTGATCTACTTCTTCATCCCATCGGTAGAAGACTGAACCAACAGCTTTGAATTGTTCTTTTAGCACTTGTTTGATCAGTGTTTCAATAATTCGAATCGAAGATTGATCTAAATAGTTTGTACCACTTGTCGTTGTCGGACCGTTGATTGTTAAACGACGTTGATATCCTTGTTCTTCTTTCTCATATATAATTGGTAATTTGTCCTTGAAATTTGTTGTACTGTACATGCAACTTCCTTCATCGTACCAACAGACAGCTGTTGGATGAATTGTTTTGGCGAAAAGAATATCAGAAACAAACTGACGGCGTTTTTCACGACTGGAAACGTTAATGTATTTATTTTGGTTTTCATGATATTCTTCAACGATGACGTCATACTGATAAAAAGTAAGATCAAGAGAAAATGAGCATGGAAAATGATTGGTGTAGATGACATCATCTGAGTCATCTTCAACTTGTTGTAATGCTGTTCCTGATGCCTGAACGGACTTTGGAGCTGTACTCTGCTTCTCGGGTGTAGTTAGTACTAATGCGGCAAGAGTATTTGTTTGTTCATCCATAGGTTTCTAGGAAGAGAGATTGAGTTGCGCAATAACACTTTAAGATGTTGTTCATTCACTTACATGTATGCCTTCATATTTTTTAAATTGCTCTTTAGCTTTATCTTTTGTGACAGACATTATATCTTCAAAATCTATAAAAGAAACAATATGATTTAATTCAATCAAATTCTATTCAAACTTAAGCAAATATTACTGACTCACTTTTTTCTCCGTTCGTTCTGTTCTTTTTCTTTGTAAATCGTATTTTTGTAAGAATAAATTCAATGAAGAATTCTCTTTCTGTATACCTATTTATACTCTATGGATGAGTGATAGACATAATCTTTTTTCCCGGTAAGAATAATGTTCCACTGTGATTATTTGTTTTGTTTTTATCTTTTCATATATCGTAGTCAGAATTCGTAATCGTTGTGCAAGATAATGAGTAATGTTTTTCTCCAAGATAAATGCATTACTATATGCATATATACTTCACCTTATACCTGCCATGTCTTTTCCTTTTTCTGCATTCTTCTCATATAGCTTCATATTAAGATCTTTTGCGATTACAGTGATTGTAGAAATATTAGAGCATTTTCTAGTCCACAAACACACATATTTTCCACTAAACACAATGATCTTATTTTAAATGATATTCTTTTCTAAAAATATATACATTGATACACAACAAGGACAAGGACCAGTGTCGCTAATGTGAGTGTCTACCAAAGATGTTAGAAGAAAATCATGTTAAACATATTTTATTTCAATAAAAACAAAACATAAGTAAGAGCACTCGTTCGAAAAACAATTTCAAGACTTTCTTTTCCACCCATAACATTAATTTTATTTTTATTCAAGTCTTTTTGTTTCAATGATTTGGATTCAATCCAAACAAAACAGAAACATAGGGTGTGGATGAGAACGTGAGCCATCATTTAACAGACACCCACACCCATGCCGCACTTTGATGTGTTGTACATTGTGTCACCAAGTCACAGCACATGCAACATGCTTTACTTAAATGTGCACAGTGACAATATTGAAAATGAACATATGGAAAATATTGATTTGTTCATCAAAAAAGTAAATAAAATATTGTCGAATCTAAGACAGAATCAGTAGCCTTCTTAGAATTTTATAGCAGACACATTTTTTATTTAGTTATCACTTTGTGAAAAGGATCTGGGTGTGGATGGGTGAGGGTTTGGGTGTACGTACATCGAACTGAAACAGAGCAGTTTATATATATCACATACAAATCAATTCGCTAGTCTCGACTCTTGCTTTTTAGGAATCGATCTAGTCGAGAATCAAATAATATACAAAGTTGTGCTTTGATTAAAGTAATTTTAAAGAAATGCAGAGTTAAGTTCGCTGATGCGTTTCGTGTTATTTATCATTAAAATATTGAGACACTCATCAGGGCTCTGCATTCACAGTTTTAAGCACAAAAGTAGGAATAAACGAATCATAGAATTAAATAAAGAAAATAAACATGAAAGATAATATAATAGGGTGTAGGATTGTGGGTGTGGGTGTGGACGTGGGTGTAAGCGTTCGTCTCCCCTTTACTCACATCCACATCCACACCCACACCATTTTAAACAAACAACTGACATAAGAGAGTTACCCAACATCGCAACCACACTATCGGTGATATCTTACAAAGGTATTTTTAGACTTGTTTTTTCGTTTTCAGCAAAATCAATAATTCGAAAAAAATTCTTTGATTTCAAACGAAAAATAGATCCTACTTGGCATAGTTTTGACAATGTACGCAAAGCAACAATAGAATATAATAGAATCAACTGAGATTATATGTGAATGCTGGTGTGAATATGAATGAGCAGAAGACTCACCGTCATACTCGCATTCATCTGCTCACACTTAAACGCTTCGAAAGCACAATTGTATTGCAATCTTCAAGAACATTTACGAAAATCACCAACAGATTCAAACTTTATGTAGAATCCAATATTAACGAGCGTAGATCAAATAGAAAAAATTTTATTGAACGATTCAAATGCTATTCAAGCACTATACATATCAGCATCATCTGAAGTCTATCGTTTTTTAATTTATGCCAGCGATTTATAGTTAGCTCTTTTATCGAAATCAAAACATACTGGTAAAGGCAAAGTGTTTGAAACAGTTGCATAATTCAACCAAAAGAATCATACAATAATGAGTGAATTTGAAGAAAAGAATACTGGTAAGAGCAAATTGTTATCTGGTCACCAGACAACATTTTCTAATTCTCACTGATCTCTTGCATAATTTATATCGAATACCATTAGTTTTATGTTTATAAAAATATAAAAATTTTAAAACTTATAAACTAGTTATACAAGTATTAAAAGCGGCTTTTTTTTAAGCAACGAAACGGTGATATAGTGAGGATAACCAACTTATTCAATCTCTCTTAAAAGAACCAAGATGCGTTCTTATTAAAACTAGGACCAAATTTAATTTGCAATACACGATTGCAAAGAGTATTCCCTAAACTACAAAAATTAACAATGAAAGTGTTTTCTTTTATTGTATTCTAATATTAAAACATTAAAAGAAATTTAAAAAAAATGATGTTGCTTGCTGGCCAAATTGCAAGAACGCTTTTAAAGATGTTTAGTTTTTCTTCGTTCTCAAATTCATTCTGGAAAAATACGATTGATACAAACTTTGTAGTTGAGACATAGCTTTTTTTAATATAATAAATTACTTTGTAAGATTTTCCAAAGCAGAGAACTACAACTGGAAATTTTGGTAATTACTTTTGCATCGAAGGTTAGAATAGTTATAATGTTAGAAAATTTAATGCAAAAGACTTCCCATTGACATCATCAAGATGTATAGCAAGAAAAGTTTGATAGGAACAGCAACGTCAAACAAAAAGTAAACATTATGTCTATTTCTATGACTTTTTTTTGCGCGTAAATTTTGCTGCTTGTCAATGTTGAGTTGATTCTGTTTTTAGTAATTACAATATAAACACTACTATTTGCTAATAATTTTTTCTTCTCTGTAATACCATTTAGATATTATATTTTTTAATCAATTGTTCCTATTATTTTATCTTATTTTGAAAATGCTTGTTTGAGGAAAAACCAATTTAATTATTTAGCTATGTTACTGTGTTTTATCATAATTACTTTACTGATTTTGATGCATTTTGCAATTTTCAAAGACTGCTCTTTTCATATTAACAATGTTTTTTTTGCTTTGTTTTCTAACTTGTTTGGTTGCCTTATAAGAGACAAATATTTAACACAATTTCATGATAAAATCTTTTCATCTGGTTATCATAACAATCCTCTGAATACCTCCAATACGCATGATCTAACAAACTTTTGTTTTAATTGATACACTATAGTATGAGAGATAGGATAATATTGAGTTAAAGTATAAATGATTTATCTTTTATTGAAAAACAATCCCTAAATAAATATACATAATTGGTTACTAAACTTGACCATAATTGTTTGGTTATGCATAAATATGGATATGACTTAGGGATTGATTCAGGAGATCAGAATTACTAATAAATGATAGTCATTTGTATGGTTGCGTGCTTGGATGCTACGCAGTAAAAGAATAAATGTAAGAATGAAATCAAAACCAAACAAATGAATTGAAAAAAGAAGTAATCGACAACAACATAGAAACAATTGAACAAGAACAAAGAGCGCCTAGTGGTTCAAACATTCAGAAAATATTCGACACGAACAAAGAGAGAGAGTGAAACACATTTGATTCGATCTCTTCTCGTTTTTGAAAGAGATTTCTACTCTGTAATTTTAAGATTAATTGAATATGAGTTCTAAATTGTAGTCCTATCAGAAGTTGAACTGATAAGCTTTTTTTTGAGGTGTTATCGTATTTATAGCATAGTTTTCAATCTATTCGATTTTTTTCAGAGTGTCTTTCAGTACAGAATAGTTGAGAGTTGTAAGGAAACAAGAAAAAGTTTGATAATTTTCTTAACGAATTCTAACATTTCAATAGAACGTCAATTCTCCTCACTTTAATAACCTATACAATCTAGCTACTCTTAGAATCTCCTAATTGCAACAACAAATCCAGCAAAATTTGATGCATGTACATGCTCATTTGTTATAAAAAATTTTCATTTCTACTATTTCATGGGTAGTTGTCAATTTCAAGACAATCATGTGCGATGCTTGTTGTCAGCTATGAATGAATTGCGCTGTTTTTTCATTAAGTAAATGAATTTCTAGATGGCTGCTTCTATATAACGAGTGAGCCTTCTCACCTGCAATATATATTTTTTTTCTTGTGAAACTGCGAGTTTTATTTTTCACAATTGTTGTACAAAAACTTTCTCAACACTTTTTTATTTCACTTTGGATTATTAATTGAGCATTCTTGTCTAGAATTTAGCTCAAAATGGAGCATTGCCGCTTATGGGTAAGTCAAATAAAAAATGCGATTATTCAATTAAACTTATTCCGTTCACCGTTGACTGTGGTGACTGAAAAACGAGAGATTGAAATACAATGCATCACCACGCGTGTTTACATCGTTCTATTCATCGTGATACTTTGCATATTTGCCATCTTCACATCACAGATACCTGTCACTCGAAGCATCGTTGTACAAAAACCTACATATGAAGAATACTCTCACTTGTATTATGTGTACGTTCGAACCCTCGTTTGTCCTTGTTCGATCAATGCGATAGAGTACAAAACATTTACCAATATAACCGTTTCTTTTCATCAAATTTGTCAAAGTGTCTTCAGAACATTGTCTTGGACTAATTTACTTGATATAGGATCAAATTTTATTGGGTCACCATTGTATTTTCGATATATTGGTGGTTCTCTATTTGGAGTACTTGATTCTCTCTGTGACTTGATCAATAAGACAATTAATGATGGTCTTATTGATTTCTTGGCTACTCGATACATTTCGGGAACAGTAACATCACGTAATATATTTGAGAATCAAATCGATGCGTTGATTCATATGTTTATTACGAGTACGACACAAACATTTAGTCAATCACTTGAATTAATTCGTGATTCCACTTATGTCAATGGACTTTCTTCAGGCCACTTGACCAATTTCTTTCCTTTAATTCTTCCCTCAACAAACAGTGAAAATATCACCCAATA